TCGGGCTCCCTGCTCAGCAGGGGGTCTGCTTCTCCCTCTGCCCTCTTCCCTCTCGTGCTCTCTGTCTCTCATTCTTTCTCTCTCAAATAAATAAATCTTTAAAAAAAAAAAAAAAAGAAACTGGATTCTGCCAACAACATGTGCAAACTTGGAAGTGGGTCTTTCCAGGCATCTGGTGAAAGCCTGATTGCAGCCACCATGGCCAGACTCCCGAAATACAGAACTGAAAGATCATAAAGGGCTTTGTTTTAAGCCACTAAATTTGTGTTCATTTGTTAAGCAGCAATAGAAAAACGAATGCACCTTCTTTCCTCTTTCAGACTAGGGAGTGCTTCCTATCTGTTTCACCCTATTCCTTCAACAAGTATTTATTTGTTGACTATTCTATATGTCAGGCACTGTTCTAGGTATTTATGTTACATAAAAGAACAAAGAGATGGAGATTCCTTCCCTCATGGGAGACAGCCAACAAAAATATATATCAGTAAATATAATATGTTAGAAGCTGATAGCAGCTATGGAAAAAATGAAAAAGTAGATCAGGGTAAGAGGATCATGAGGCCCAGGACAAGGGGGGTTTGCAGTTTTAGGTAGGATGGTCAGGAGAGAGCTTATTGAACAAAGACTAGAAGCGGGTAAAGGCATTCATCATGCAGATATCAGTCACCCAGACAAGGGAACAGCTCTGCAAAGTCTCTAAGGTGGGAGCTTGTCTGAGCAGCATTTCCTCATTTCTCCCACTCCTTAGCGCCTGCTAATCACCAATCTACCCTCTGTCTCCACGAGTTCAACTTCTCTCTTTTTGGAATATTGATGATATTGTTAGATCTTTTATTATTGTTCCCCAGGTCCCTGAGGCTCTGTTCATTTATTTTTTTCAGTTGCTTTTCTCTCTGTTTTTCAGATTAGGTAATTGTATTGTTCTATCTTGAAATTCCATGATTCCTTTCCCTTTCATATTTGTTCTCCTATCTAGCCCATTTAGTGAGTTTTAAATTTTAGTTATTGTATTTTTTTCAGTTATGTAATTACCACTTTTTTTTTTAAATCTTCTATTCCTTGGCTGAGATTTTATATATTTTAATTTACTTCAAGAATATTTATACTTACTCACTGAAACATTTTGCTACTTTAAAGTTTTGGTCAGATAATTCTATCATCTGTTTCATCATCTCATGTTGGGGTCTGTTGATTGTTTTTTCTCATTCAAATTGTTATTTTCCCCTGGTTTTTGGTATGATGAGTGATTTCCAGTTGTGTTCTGGACATTTTAGATATTATATTAGGAGACTCTAAATCCTATTTAAGTCTCCCAACTTAGCAGATGGTCACCCTGTTTAGGTTTAATATGTAGGTTCTGGCCTGCTTTTGCAGCTTGTGGTTCCAGTGACAATTTTGTTTTCAGAGCTGGTGCATACTATCTAGTTTGCTGTGTTCATCTGGTTTCTGGGCTCCTGCTTGGTTCCCATTAGTGCTGCTGCCTCTGGAGCCAGAATGAACTTCTCCTTATCCAGTGACACTTAGTAGGGGTTGAGACACACTGGACCTTCAGGGCAGAGAGTGCTTCCCCAGTGCATTGTCCGAGGCTGCCTCATGCAGGTGAAGCTCCTACTGAAATAGACATTTGGAAATCAATGGCACATAGATTGTGTTAATCTACGAGACTGCATGAGAGTGAGAAGAGAAGAGGATCTAAAGCTGAGCCATAGGCTCTCCAATATTAAGAAGTCCTGGAAAAGAGAAGGAACCAGTAAAGAAGACTGGTGTGGAATGACAGATGGGAGGAAAACAACTAAGAGAGTGTGATGTCCTAAAGCTAGGTGAAGTATATCAAAAGGGAGGCTGTCTTATAGCTCTGTAATACAAAGACAAAGAGCCTAATTTTAAAAAATGGTCAAAGGATCTGAATAGACAGTTCTCCAAAGAAGATACACGAATGGCCAAAAAGCATATGAAAAGATGCTCAATATCATTAGCCATCAGGGAAATGTAAGTTTAAACCACAATGAGATACCACTTTACACTCAGTTGGATGGCTATAATCAAAGAGATAGGTAATACAAGTATTGCTGGGCTCTGGAGAGATTGGAACTCTAATACATTGTTAATGTCAAAATAAAATGGCATAGCTGCTTTGGAAAACAGTTTGGTAGTTCCTGGGTGGCTCAGTCGGTTAAGCGTCTGCTTTCGGCTCAGGTCATGATCCCAGGGTTCGGGGATTAAGCTCTGCGTCAGGCTCCCTGCTCAGCAGGGAATCTGCTTCTCCCTCTCTACCCTTCCCCTGGCTCTTACGCGCATGCATGCGCGTGCTCTCTCTCTCTCTCTCAAATAAATAAATAAAATCTTTCTTTTAAAAAAAAGGTTAAACACAGAGTTACCATATGACCCAGCAATTCCATTCCTAGTTATATTTTTAAGAAAAATGAAAACATACACAGAAAAACTTGTTCATCAATGTACATAATATCATTATTCATAATAGCCAAAAAGTGGGAACAACTCAAATGTCCATCAGTTTATGAATAAATAAGCCAAATATCCATATCCACACAATGGAATATTATTCAACAATAAAAAGGAGTGAATTTCTGATGAATGCTGCAACATGGGTGAACCTTGAAAACATGATGCTTGAAAGAAGCCAGTC